GAAAAATCCCCAGCCGATGTAGCCCACCCACTTGCGCCACCTCACCCAGTGTATGCTTTGTGTCCACTCCTGCCTCCCCACATGTGCCCGCTGCCCGTACACCCGCACATGCCTCACAGGTGGCCCTGCCTTGTCCTCCAACCCCTGCAGCACTTCGCCCTCCACGTGCTGTGCATGCACTCCGTATGCCTGCCTTGCAGCTGCCTCATCGCCCAGAAATGTGGGGGAGGCTTCGTTCTTGCATGAAGCATTCAGAGCGTGTCTGGTGCCCCCCCTCTTTGCCCTGGTTTCCTTCCTGTTCTCCCACCCCTGCTCCAGCTTCCTGCCCTTTGATGTGCCTCCCCTCCTCTGCTCCAGGGTACAAACTGCTTACCAGGTGGAGATGACTTCTCCCCACCCCGCAATTAGGTGCAATTATAAGGTTATGCTTTTCCCTGAACTCTTGCTCTGGTGTGCATTGAGGGTGGATGGGCTCACAAGCCCTGCTCTGGGGTGATGACCCGTGAGACATGGAACAGGGCTCTGGTCTGTGCAGGCAAGCGGTGCTGGTGGGTGCTGGAAGGTCCTGGCAGTGCTGGGGATGAGGTGGATGCTTGGTGGCCCCGAGCCGGGACTCAGCTGCAGGAAGCCCAAGCCTGCTCCATTCCAATACAGGAGCAGCAGATCCCTGGGTGCTTCCCGCTGTGGTCAGGCAGAGCACAGAAATGTGCCCCTGGGGAAGGCGAAGCCAAGGCTTGAGTGGAGACAGGTCCCAGCAGCCACATTGAGCTCTGCTGTCAGTTCTTGTCATCTGTGCTTCAAGGCGTGCAGTGCCTTGGCACCCGTGGGATGCTCCAGGGCTGGCAGCAGCCGGAAGAGGAGCGAGGCTCCACGCACTGCAGCCCCTGGGCTTCTGAGGGTCCTGCCTTTCGCTGGAGGTGGGGCCTCTGTGCCTCCTACAGAGACACAGGTTTTACTTCCAGCGCTGTTGGTGCTGGCTGTGAGGGAGATGATGGCTACAGCAAAATCCACCCTGCTCTCAGTGGAGCTGAGGGAGTGTCAACTCTTGGGGGCTTCTGGCTCCTCATCACCTCCTGGCTACGTCCCAGGCGAAGACACTCCTGCAGCAGTTTTCAGGGAGCATGACTGGCTGAATGCCTTGCTGCTCTGGTGTGACTTTAGCTACAGGGTGTCGGGAGCCAAAACTACAGTGCCCAGCACCCTGGGCATGACTCTGGCAGGGCCAGCACTGCAGGGCAGCCCTTGGGTGCTGGGCAGTACCTGAAGCCAGAGCAAGCATGAGGCCCTCCCGCTGCACAGGGTGAAAGGCTTCATCAGAATTGCTCCATCTAAAGCCAAAATGCTGCCACCAAGACCAGTGAGTCCTCGCTCCATCCCGTAGGAAATTGCTCCATGTGCAGATGTGAATACTCACAGAGACACATCTCCACATGCTCATGCTCACACACACAGGGCAAATGCTCTGCTGTGGCCAAGGCTGGCCAGCCCGCAGTGCTTTCTCTTGTTGCTCTGCAGGATGCAGAGAGCTGAGCTCAGGAGAAAAACTGAGCTTGCTGGTCTGCTGTGGAGGGCAGATCCCACCTCTGCAGTTCACTACAGCATGGCAGCGCTCCTACCTTTCAAGTCAGAGTGTCCAGGGGTTTCCAGATATCTAACTTGTTTGTATCACAAGACGTGCAGGTGAGTGTGGTGCCTGCAGAGGGTCTGCAGGACACATCGACTGACACGGGCAGCCAGAGCAGCCCCATCAGGGACATGCAGGCAGTGGCTGCTAAACTTCTGAGGGAGCTGGCTGCAGGCAGGGAGAGACCCTGTGTTCTCCCTTGCACATGTTAAGCCCAGCAGGGCCATGGAGGGAGTGCTCCTTGGAGTTCTTCACCCCGAGTCAGCACTGCTGGGTCTGTGTTGGATGAGCTGGGCTCAGCCACAGTGGCCATCGAGGTCCTGTGAGCGCCTCAGCTGTGTTTCAGAGCACACCTCAGCAACACAGTCCAAATAAGGTACAGGACTGAGCTATTTGTGGCTCTCAGGGTGCCATTTGGACAGCCGGGGGTTCATGAGTGTGTGCGTACATGTGTGATTAAGGCATATGGTGGCCATGTAAAAACATACCTGGAAAGAAAGTCTCAACAAAGATTAAATTAAAAGAAAATATTATTAATCACATAGGGCATCCTGTCTGTTACTTAACTCTGCTTGCATAACTCTCATGACCGGCTGCCTTCACAGACGGCTGCTCTGCTGTCAAAGTCATTTGCTGGGCACCTGTTGGAAAAACTGCCAAGTCAGCACAGGACTAATTGCACCTGTGTCTTTCCTTGCAGTGGGCTTTAAAAGTCTACATGAAAAATTGCTGAGAGGTCTTGCAGCTCCCCAGACGAGCCTGTGATGCCTCCTGCTATTTAATCCAACCCATGTACTGTGAGCAACTGTGATGGGGATGAGAGTGTTGCAGAGGCCCAGAGAGTCCCTGCAGCTCTGGTGGCCCCTGAGCTGGGCTCTGCGTGGGGAGAGGAGGTTGCACATCCCCCTGGGAGTGCAGCGATGGCTGCTGCTGGGCCAGAGGGAGCAGGGCAGGAGCTGCTCCTGTCCCCAGCCCCTCTTAAAGGCTGCAGTATTTCTCCCTTCCCCCTGCCCTTTGCACTCAGGTCTGAGGCTTTCATGAGCGGCTGAATGGCAGAGGGCTCTGCAGCTGCCGGGCAATACCCAGACATGTGGGGCGGTTTTGTTTGCCCGGGTGAGCAGCCAAGCTGCAGCCCATCTCCAGCTCCGTACCAGCTGCAGATCCAAGGCAGCTGACTGGCCTGCCAAAAAAACAAAACACATCGAGGACCAGGGAGTGGCTTGTGCTAGCACTGAATAATGATGATCCCAGCACGCTTATAAAACTACGCTCACCACAGAGCTGTTCCTTGCAGCCCTGGTCC